TCCGGAGATGAAGTGGGGGTGGTATCAGAGGTAATGGTGTTTAAGTGAGATGATGACAAGTCATCAGGTAGGTGACTGGACGAAACAGAATCGATTTCCTCAAGGTGACCGAGGACTTCACCACGGAATAATATGGCTGGGGAAGGAAGCGAGTTCGTTATATAAATGGAGCCACGGGAGTTTTCTACGGTGACAACTGCGAACGGGAGAAGGAAGCTTTTGCGAGAGCCAAAGGCGTCGGAGGGGTAAAAGAGGGCGGTGACAGAGGGCGCGTCGTCGCAGAAGAGTGGCACAAGAACACAGGATAGAGGAAGGATGTGAGTGTCCGCGGCCACGGTGACTCGGGAAGACAGCGGCTTGAAAGAAGGTTCATCAGACGTCGGCGCTTCACATAGGGGCAGTTCAGACATCGTCGACAACTCTAGTTCGGCACGCACACAGTGAACGACGGCATGATGAGCGCAGAGGAAGTCCCAGCCTAAGATGATATCATGCGAACATGGGGAAAACACAACGAATTCGACTACGTACAAAATAGTTTGGATGACCAGTCGAGCTGTGCACGCCGCAAAAGGTTGGATGTGATGCGCAGTGGCCGTGCGGAGAGAGACATCGGAAAGTGGCAGTGTAAGCTTCTTCAACTTGCGGCACAGTTCACCACTTAGCACAGACACGGCAGCACCAGTATCAACGAGCGCTTGCACCGGTACACCATCAATATGCACAGTTATTTCATTAGCAGGTAGAAACGGAGGCCTTGAAAGTTTCGAGATATGCGCAGCTCTTGTCTCGGGAACGGCAATGGTCAGTTTTCCGTTTGGGTGGGTGCTGATCGTGGAAGCATAGGAGAAATCGAACGGCGCCGTGGTGAGGGCGACCGATCCCTGTCGAAGCCGCGGCGATTGTTCCGACATGGGGGAGAAAGAAGACGACTGTGGTGGCTCTGGACGATAGCCGTAAGTCGCCTCACCAGCAGTTGGGTTATAATCCTGACGGCGGCAGTAGCGTGCTACATGACCGGGAAGATGGCAGAAGTAGCAAATCGGCCTTTTGTCCGGAGTGCGCCAAGGGTCAGTTGATGGTAGCGCGGTGTGGCGAACAGGAGGTGGGTGGGGACGGACAGGGGGACTTGCTGAGTAGATGGGACTGGGCTGTCTAGCAAGATCCGTGGCGTTTGGTAGCGACGGCGGCGATCGTCTGGTGGCCTCAGCGTAAGTGAGAGGGGCGGAGATAGGCGAAGGATGGTATGTAGGAGACAGGGCATCAAAAACTTGCTCTTCGATTGTCTTGCGGAGCGTTGGGGTCAGTGTGTGCGCACTGGCCGGAACGTGCGACACAAGAGACGATTGGCGCGCCACTTCTTCTCGGACGTACTGCTGAATTTGCTGCATTAAGGTGCTTTGTTCTGATGAAACAGTGAAAATGGTTAACGCAGATGTAGAGCTCGTGTCGAGGTTTCGACGTCGAGTAGAAATGTGCTCTCTCCGCAGCTCGTCGAAACTCTGACAGTGTTGAATAAGCTGGGCGACGGTTTGCGGGTTTTTTGCAACGAGCATGTGGAAGGCGTCGTCCTCGATACCTTTCATGGTGTGCCGTATTTTGTCCGTGTCAGACATGTGGGAATCGATACGATGGCAGAGGTCCAGAATATCCTCAATATACGAGGAAGGTCTCGCCAGAGAGCTGTGCGCGGCCGCGCAAGCGCTGTTCGGCGCGGAGCTCGCGAACAGCGGGTCGGCCAAAGACTTCTGCAAAGCGCGTCTTGAAGGTTGACCAAGAGGGTGTTTCCGCTTTGTGGTTGTTAAACCACAGTTTTGCCACAACCGCCAGATAGAAATGAAGGTAAGCGAGCTTGTCGGTGTCATCCCCCTTATTGTGGGCGCTTACCGCTTCATACTGGGACAGCCAGTCTTCGGCGTCTTGGTCGTCGGTCACGTTGACGGAACAGGTGGCGGATGGTATTATGACTGCAGGTGGCTGGGTCATGTCGTCAGGCATTGGCGAAGCGGGGGGTTGGGGTAGAGTCCGGGAACGGAGTTCCAGTTTGAGACAACCAGCACTCTCCACCAAATGTAAGAATACTGTTAGACGCCACGCCGGGGTGATGCAACTGTTTAATGGGCCGAATAGAAGCGAGACAGCAGCCAGTGGTTTTAGCAGCAGCTGCAGCAGCACGAGGTTCTGCCACAACAAACGTCTTCTTCGTCGTCTCTAGCAAGTCCGTATTTTTCGCCACTACAATATATATATATATATATAATGGCTCGTTTTTCCGTGTTTTAACACAAAATTAATGAGATCTAACAGACAGTAATGCCAAGGAATGTACAGGGGAAGTTATTAGAACCAATGGAATGTAAATAAGAAGAAAGAAAAGTGGATGAAAAAATACCCAGCCGTGAGCAGGAATCGAACCTACGACCTTCGAATAACGCGTTCGATGCTCTAACCACTGAGCTACCACAGCGGCTTTCCCTCCGTCCACTTTTTTGGGTTAATA